GTTAATTATTTACAAATTGAACAAGAAGAGGACATCGGTTTAAAATTAATGTCTGAAACTGTCCATCCACTACGGTATCACCATTCATAACATATTTCACAACACTGTCTCCCAGAATAAATAGACCATTTGCTGTACAATATCCATTTCATAACTTGCTCCCGTTTAAAAAAAAAAAATCTCACAGTACTAATGGCATACGGACTGAAAAGATCATTTCTGACTTCAAGAAACTGCTTATATTCATTCATTTCTTTAGTCATGTATTTTACTTATGTTTGCTCCAGTTGAACAGGATTTTGTTGTGCTGAAGTTTAAAGACAAAAATGGATGAAAGATTTCTTGGTAGAATTATTATGCAAACCTAATGAACTAACACACTGTGTAATGAAAACCATGTGAACTAACACGCTGTGGATGTGTTGTTTTAAAGCTAAAAGATGCGAGGTAAACAAAACAAGAAGTAAAAAATATAAAAATAAAGCTGAATAAAAATGTACATTTTAAAAAAAAAATCACATTATTTCGTAACCTCACTTGGGTCATCAAAGTTTCAAAAAATTGTGCGCAAGTTCATCTTTAGATGACTTTTTAAGATCATTTTATTTTATTTATTCATGAGAAAACTTTTTTTTAAAATGGAATTTGAGGGCAAGTGTATAATTATAATCACCCAATAAAAGGTGACAAGCGTATATACAAGACCTGAAGACAAAAAATGTTTCAAACTTCAAACAATAATATTAGGCAGAACAGACAGGTTTCGCAGCTTAAAAAAAATAATTTAAAAATCTCTAAGAAGGTTGCCTAGAGTTGCCATGATATTTCTTAACCAAACTGATGGCATCATCTTTTTAAAATTAAATGAGCATGTCTTGCGTACCCTGCCATTCAACTAGAAGACCGCATGCTGCCAAGTCTTTGTATTTACACGTATGAGGGAAGCTCTGGATTCATGGCTGAAACATTTCATGTAGTTTAAGTCCTTAGCATTGTGGTGAAAAACTTTGACCAGATCACATGACTGGCCAGTTAAAGACCATTCCATGTACCGATCCAATGCTGGCTTTATCTAGCAGCTTCAGTCCTGAACTCTAATTGTTTAGTCTGATCTCTGTTTAGTCGGAGGTTCATGGGGTGTAGGATGCCTCATAAGTCCACAGCTGACAGGACTAAACCTCTCGCTGAGTTTTTAGCTGGTAAATGGCAAGAGAGAAGAGGAAAAAAAAAGAATTAGAGTGCAGGAAGATTATTTGAGATGGTCCATAAATTACAATCCAAGATTCCAAGTCAGAATTTTCATCTCTTAAAAACAATTAAGTCAGAACTTTGGTCCTAATCAATATTAAATAGCTTAGAGTTCAAATATTCCTGAATTTTTCTCCCGTATCCATAAGAACTAAGCTGTTGATAATCCGACTAGTTCAATCATAAATATTCCAAAGGCAAAAAGAAGCCAAGCCATTCTAAGGGGCCAGGCCATTCTAAGGAGCCAGGTCATTCTAAAGGGGCCAGGCCATTCTAAGGGGCCAGGTCATTCTAAAGGGGCCAGGCCATTCTAAGGGGCCCAGGCCATTCTAATGGGCCCAGGCCATTCTAAGGGGCCCAGGCCATTCTAAGGGGCCNAAGGGGCCAGGTCATTCAAAGGGGCCAGGTCATTCAAAAGGGCCAGGCCATTCTAAGGGGGCCAGGCCATTCTAAGTGACCAGGCCATTTTAAGGGGCCAGGCCAATCTAAGGGGCCAGGCCATTCTAAAGGGCCAGGCCATTCTAAAGGGCCAGGCCATTCAAAGGGGCCAGGCCATTCTAAGGGGCCAGGCCATTCTTAGGGGGCCAGGCCATTCTAAAGGGCCATGCCATTCTAAGCTAAGCCTTAATTCTCAAGGAAAATAAAAACCATATCAAGAGACGCACGGTCAAAGTAGGTGGTGTCCATCTGGTCATCTGGTTCCGGCACAAACGCTGGCTCCATATTGATCAAGTTGGCCCAGTCAATGGCGGAGAAGAACGGCATGGCCTTGACCTCTGCAAACACACCAACATTTGAAAAAATTATCCAACAGGTGTCAAACACTCAAAAGAGTTGCAGACCAAAAGTTCAAATATAATATCTTAAAAAGGTTCTGCTACATAAAGTTTGCTATAAAAAGATGACATCTGTAGGAACAAGTTTGACTCGTGGTCTTAGGCGTTGGGTACATCAAATCAAGGTCAACACGGGCAAGGTCACAATGAAAATTGATTTTAAAAAATACATGCATACACATATGCTTATTCACCCACACTAACAGTTAACTAACTGTATTTAAGTGTAACTAAGTCACAAGGGCCCATTACTGTCATTGGCTTACGTGCATCAAATTCATTCAACTGTATTGTACAGGACACAAGGGCCCATTACTGTCACTGGCTTACTTGCATCAAATTCATTTAACTGTATTGTACAGGACACAAGGGCCCATTAGTGTCACTGGCTTACTTGCATCATATTCATTCAACTGTATTGTACAGGACACAAGGGCCCACTACTGTCACTGGCTTACTTGCATCACATTCATTCAACTGTACTGTACAGTAACAGAGAGGCATGTGAATACCGGCATATATTTTATAGCAGGGGTGGGCAACCTATGACAGGGGGTGGGGGGTCACATGCAGCATGCTGAATATTTAATCAGCCCCGCAAGACATTTCAGGAACTGGATTATCCGTGTTCAAATTGTCTTACTGTAATCAGTGTAAAATTGTTTCACTGTACCGGTAATTACAGTGAAAAAATTGTCTTAATGTAACCAGTGTAAAATTGTCTCACTGTAATCACAGTGTAAAATTGTCTTACTGTGATCATCATGGGCGCCCGCAGGTAGGGGCATGGGGGGGGGGGGGGGGGGGGGGGGGGGGGGGGGGGGAGGCGGGTGGTGGTGCACTCGCCCCCCCATAGATTGATTGGATAAAAAATGTTTAGACAAAAATAGACAAAAAATGTATTAAAATAAAGAGAAAATAAAGAGAAAGTAACTAAGCTGATGTCCTGTCCGTTCGTTGACCATACAAATACGCTACAGTAAATTAAAATTACATTAAAATATTACTACAAAAATTTTGCGCCCCCCCCCCTGGAAAGTTAATCGATTTTTTTGCCCCCCTCCCCCCCAGAAAGTTTTCTGCGGGCGCCCATGGCGATCATGTAAAATTGTCTTACTGTAATCACAGCAAAGTTAATAATTATTCAGCTGCTTATTTTTAACCAAATTTGTAAATGCCATTTTCAGTGATATATATTAAAACTGGAACCCTTGTTTGGCCAAAAATAACAAATTTTCATTTGGACAAATAAGGAAGAACACGCCTGCATTGAAGTAGTAGCTTGAAACTAGTAAGCCCATATTGCTAGTATGCCCCTATTGCTTGTAAGCCCCTTATTGCTAGTATGCCCCTATTGCTAGTATGCCCTATTGCTAGTATGCCCTATTGCTAGCATGCCCCTATTGCTAGTATGCCTCTATTGCTAGTATGCCACTATTGCAAGCATGCCCCTATTGGTAGCATGCCACTATTGCAAGCATCCCCCTATTGCTTGTAAGCCCCTATTGCTTGCAAGCCCCTATTGCTAGCATGCCACTATTGCAAGCATGCCACTATTGCTAGCATGCCCCTATTGCTTGCAAGCCCCTATTGCTAGCATGCCACTATTGCAAGCATGCCCCTATTGCTTGTAAGCCCCTACAAATGCGTTGCATGAGTACTATTTTATTTTGTTTTACGGCAATGTTTGTTGTAATAAATCTGTCGTATAAATAGGGAGTGGGACATTAGAATATTAATAGAGGTCAGGGGCGGGGGTGTACTGGGGGAGGGGAGGGGTGTGCGTGTTCAATCACTAATTAGGAATCCTCTTGACTCCATGTTTTGTCAAGTAACTTTAGTAGATGAGAAGTTCATTCATTGCGGCCACCATTGCTGCTGGTTATACATTAATATGTCATGTGTAAAGCCAAAAGTTTTTCCCCTCAATTCAAACAAATATTTTTAACTTAACTAGAATTGCTCCAAAGACCAATCAACCACATAGGATAAAGTGAACTATTGTGCCCGCATCTCATAGGATAAAGTGAGCTATTGTGCCCACATCTCATAGGATAAAGTGAGCTATTGTGCCCACATCTCATAGGATAAAGTGAGCTATTGTGCCCACATCTCATAGGATAAAGTGAACTATTGTGCCCCCATCTCATAGGATAAAGTGAACTATTGTGCCCACATCTCATAGGATAAAGTGAGCTATTGTGCCCACATCTCATAGGATAAAGTGAACTATTGTGCCCACATCTCATAGGATAAAGTGAACTATTGTGCCCACATCTCATAGAATAAAGTGAGCTATTGTGCCCACATCTCATAGGATAAAGTGAACTATTGTGCCCACATCTCATAGGATAAAGTGAGCTATTGTGCCCACATCTCATAGGATAAAGAGAACTAATTGTGCCCACATCTCATAGGATAAAGTGAGTTATTGTGCCCACATCTCATAGGATAAAGTGAACTATTGTGCCCACATCTCATAGGATAAAGTGAGCTATTGTGCCCACATCTCATAGGATAAAGTGAGCTATTGTGCCCACATCTCATAGGATAAAGTGAACTATTGTGCCCACATCTCATAGGATAAAGTGAGCTATTGTGCCCACATCTCATAGGATAAAGTGAACTATTGTGCCCCCCACATCTCATAGGATAAAGAGAACTAATTGTGCCCACATCTCATAGGATAAAGTTATTGTGCCCACATCTCATAGGATAAAGTGAGCTATTGTGCCCACATCTCATAGGATAAAGAGAACTATTGTGCCCCCCACATCTCATCGGATAAAGTGAGCTATTGTGCCCACATCTCATCGGATAAAGTGAGCTATTGTGCACACATCTCATCGGATAAAGAGAACTATTGTGCCCACATCTCATCGGATAAAGTGAGCTATTGTGCCCACATCTCATATAATAAAGAGAGCTATTGTGCACACTGTTACCTTTAGCTGCTGGTCTTTGGTCAGGTTCTGGCGTGAGCAGAGCTTGGACGGCTGCCACAGCGTCATGACTTAAGGCCTCGTCATCCGTTGGCCAGGTGATATCTGCCAGGCAGAAGAAATCAATGAAATCATAGCTGTTTGTGCTTCATTAAGACATCTGAGATTTATTCATTTATGTCTTACTTTAGAGCTAATGAAATATAAAGGACATGATCACTATAATGTTATGTGATTGAATAAATTGAATGGCCCGAATAACAGACCATTTACCAAAAATGTGTCCAGCCATGTGTGCTAAATGGATCCCCCCTCCACCCCCCCCCCCCACCACACACACAAAAAACACTACATCTCCTTNAATGAAATATAAAGGACATGATCACTATAATGTTATGTGATTGAATAAATTGAATGGCCCGAATAACAGACCATTTACCAAAAATGTGTCCAGCCATGTGTGCTAAATGGATCCCCCCTCCACCCCCCCCCCCACCACACACACAAAAAACACTACATCTCCTTCCATTGTTGATAGGTTTATGGTTTATGCCTGACAAAACTCAAGGTAGCCGAGTCCTTAGAGAAAAAGCATCTAGAAAAATCTAAGGATTGATCTCTTTCAAATGCGTTGTTCTCTATCTATATAAAATGTTTTCAAAGACTGCCTCAGAATCTAAGACCTTACTTCTGCTCACTATGTTTTCAAAGACTGCCTCAGGATCTAAGACCTTACTTCTGCTCAATATGTTTTCAAAGAAAGTCTCAGGATCTAAGACCTTACTTCTGACAAAATATGTTTTCAAAGACAGTCTCAGAATCTTAGACCTTACTTCTGCTCAATATGTTTACAAAGACAAGCTCAAAAACTCTGCCCTTACTTCTGTTCAATATGTTTTCAAACACAGCCTCAGGGGTCTGGTCATTAAAGGGAGGCAACCCAGTGAGGAACTCATACAAGCATACACCTAGGGCCCACCAGTCAACAGCAAATCCTGTAAAAAAAAAAAATTTTTTTCAGAGATTTCATTTTAACGTGCACTATTATCCCCCAATTGCCAGGCCTTTTTTAAAATTTTAAGATGTATAAGTACAATGCAGTTTAAAAAATGTTGGTTAGTTTACCATTTCTGACATGTTATGCATTCACAAAAATATTCACTTCATTGGATTATCAAATAATAAAGTTAATTATTTCATTAAATTATGCAACCTTTTTATTTTTAAAGAATTTTCAACTTTTTTTTTTTTCCTTCTCTTGTTTATGTTGGTTTGTTGAACATAAATAGTTATAATATAAAACCAAATGGTATTTTTTAAGATCACCATGACATAAATCTAGAAATTTCAGTTAAAGAATGACAATCTGGGATTGTCAAGTAGAGAGTGTTCAGTTAAAGAATGACATTAATCTGGGATTGTCAAGTAGAGAGTGTTCAGTTAAAGAATGACATTAATCTGGGATTGTCAAGTAGAGAGTGTTCAGTTAAAGAATGACATTAATCTGGGATTGTCAAGTAGAGAGTGTTCAGTTAAAGAATGACATTAATCTGGGATTGTCAAGTAGAGAGTGTTCAGTTAAAGAATGACATTGATCTGGGAGTGTCAAGTAGAGAGTGTTCAGTTAAAGAATGACATTAATCTGGGAGTGTCAAGTAGAGAGTGTTCAGTTAAAGAATGACATTAATCTGGGATTGTCAAGTAAAGAGTGTTCAGTTAAAGAATGACATTAATCTGGGATTGTCAAGTAAAGAGTGTTCAGTTAAAGAATGACATTAATCTGGGATTGTCAAGTCAAGAGTGTTCAGTTAAAGAATGACATTAATCTGGGATTGTCAAGTCAAGAGTGTTCAAAATTCCGTACACAACTCTCATATCTTTCTACAATTTTTAGATCCAGTATTAGCAAATGTGTAGCACTGACTGAAATTTCAATGCAAAGGACCAGTGTTTGCTTTATCAAAGTTCTATTCGGTGGGGCAAAAATAATTAAAGCATGTAGCAATTTTTAACAAAAAAAAAGTTTTACAAATAAACATGAGATATTTAAAAAAAAAAAAAATTTTTCAAGGGATAAATTATGTCACTGTGGCTGTCTAAGCATATAAGTTAGGTTTTTCAACGCTTACAGGAGACACTAAAATTTTTACAAAAAATTGTTTCGGTTCAATCATGTGACAGAGAGTGTACTTCCAACTAATCAATTTGAAAATATTTTTTAGGACATGGCAAAGGTCTAAATTTAAATACATTTGAAAAATAAATAAAAAATTAATAGATTAACAGAGACAATTAATTAGCACTTGAGCGAGCTGAATTTTTTTAAAGGACTCAAAAACTTAAATACAAAAATGATAATCTGAAAATATATTTGTGTGACCAACCGTGAGGCTTCTGTAAAAGAATCTCTGGCGCCAGGTAGTCTGGGGTTCCTAATATTCTGCCCGCATCCTCCTGAGGCTCAGTTCCACGACGTACACTCTTGGGCGTTCTCATGGGTGTATGAAGCCGATTTGCAGGCGTATGCATGGGCGTCTGTAGTCTGGTTCCTGGCGTTCTCATGGGTGTTCTGAAAAGTGACTCTCTGAGACCGCTGGGTGGCTGGAAGGTAAACATAAAAATAATAAAAATTATTTTAAACATCGTTACAAGCTGATTGCTGATTGAGTATCAAAAGTCAAGTTATGCCAACAATAAGGTGGATGAACAGTGTGCAGCAGGGACAAAGTGCCCACATGCTTCAGCGAAAAGCTTTAAAGAGTTCTATAAATATGCACGGAGGAACAATGTCAGCTAAAAAATTCAAATTTGGTTACCGCAGCTGTCAGGTCCTTGGGTGGCGATATATCAGAGAAGCCATTCCTTTCTTTACCGAGCCCACCCTGGCTTTTGACAGGTCTCAAAGAAGACCTCACCTGTTTTAAAAATACAAGCATGTAGTTTTGTCATTGTTATTTTGTAATGATTTCTAGTTATTGCTGTGTATCAAAGTTTTATCTTATATTTACATTTGATGTCCCGTACTTGCATATTAAACTTGGGAAACATAAAGGGAGGTAAAAAAAATAATCGCTTTTTGAGAAGTGTTTCTACTTTTTAATTTCACAAAAAAAAAACAATTTTAAAATTCACACTGTAATCTTACAACATGACAGTTTTTCATAAGTCCTATTTTCAGCTAATTAAAGAGATAGCAGTATTTTACGAAACTATTTACTGAATTAATGTTACCAAAATTAAATATGAATTATTCCTCTAGATGCTTGTGGCTTCAGATGTATAATGATATCAATGGATGAAAAAGATGAAACATAATTTTCAAGAATCAAAAGATACTTCTTAAATGAAGATGAGGTTGAGATTTCAGTAATCGAGGTCACCAGTTTACATAGATTTCAAAAATTATTTTCATATAAAATAATCTTGCTACACACCTGTGAACATCTCAAATCCCCTTTTTCAAACCATTTAATATACCCGCAACAAGAAAGGGGCTAAAAAAATTATTGGGATCAACGAAGACGACTTTGGAACATTAAAAAAATGTGAAGGCAATAAAGATGTGGCTCAAATATGCTATTGTTCATACTGATATTAGGCTTGCGTTATTTTAAATGCTGAAGGCAATAAAGATGTGGCTCAAATATGCTATTGTTCATACTGATATTAGGCTTGCGTTATTTTAAATGCTGAAGGCAATAAAGATGTGGCTAAAATATGCTATTGTTCATACTGATATTAGGCTTGCGTTATTTTAAATGCTGAAGGCAATAAAGATATGACCAGTTTGCAGCCCGTGAAGTAAAGAAATATTCTTCTTCTTATTTTCTTAATAGCTTCCCCCCCTCCGCTGTCCTATTTTCTTTCCGCCCGCACAAGTTTTTCATAAAGTATATCGGCTCGCCTGAAGTTTTGAGTTGTGCTTGCACATCTTAATTAAGTAATTCTTGGATTATTGTGGCAGAAAGTGTTTTTGTGTCTTTGAGAATACAGAGGATTATGTTATAATTCTCTTGTGTAATATTGTGATATGTGATTAAATGTAGGATATTTCAAGATTAAAGGAAAGTGAATATTTTTTTACATTTTTACTAACTCTATACCTTATGAATCATATTCATTAAAATATCATTACACATAATAAATAATGGCTCTTACAAATAAGTTGGGGAGGGAGCTAGAAATATACTTAAAAATAGTATATTATATCTATATTTGATTGTAGGCCTACTAATCTCATTAAAAGATACTAGAGTATGAGTATAAGGCCCTTACCTCTTCCGTCACACTCAATGGTTTAACGAACATGGCACCATCCTCACTTTCCTGGCCGGTCAAATTTTCAGCTATGCTCGGCAGTGCACCCAGTCCAGAGAGCAGGCTCTGCTGCTTGCTGGGAAGAGAATCCATGCAGTTATCTCCCCTTGTTAACACTTTTTTCTTTGCTTCGCCGTCTTCGGGTGACAGGCTCAGGGGCCGGGGACCGGATTGGGTGATATTTGTAAGTGGGGGTGAGGGGAGAGCCAGTGACAGGAAATTGAACTGAGCCTCCGAAGGTTGAGCCGAGTCAACGCTGCCAACATCTGATAACGATGACACGGAGGAACTCCTTGACCGGAACTTGATCCGTCCGGGTGAAGGACTACCCTCCTTCTCCTCTGTCTGCGGACAGGTACCCTCATATTCAATGGTGGAGTTCAAAGTGCTAACATCCGTGCCGATGGATGTGTCCAGTGTTGAGATTCCTTTCTTAATGATGAGCGGTTTGAGGTGGCCACTGCCTGCCGTTGGCGAGGAGTGCATCGACGGCCCGGGAGAAGGTGTGGATATGAAAAAGGAAATTTTGTTTTCATAAGGGTCGTCCGAGTTTGACTCGGATTCGATGTCACGGTCCGAGGGTTTACCTTGACACTCCAGGGCCAGATTGTTGAGAGCGGCCACTCTGTGGAGACCTGGCTGGTGATTCTTCCTAAACTGCCTCATCTTATGTGGTGAACCATACCTGTTCTCCTCCTTGGAAGCTGTACCACATTTCGGTGACCTCTCTACAGAGTTGCTCCTTAAGATGAGGGGCTTGCGCAGGACAGGAGTGTCACTGCTAACTGCCGGGTTTGAGTTCTTAAAAGAGATCGACCTTGATTGGACCCCAGCGACAATATCCTTGAGGGCAAGGGTGCTGATTTCGCTGGTGAGGCCCGTGTGTGCCAAATTTGGTTGCGGGGGGATGTTCCTTAGCTTGTCACCTATAACAAGGCCCGAAGTCTCTGAGCACTCTCCTCTGTCGAAACGAGGTTTCTTTCGATTTTCCAAACACAATCTGCTGAGGTCAGGGGACATACCAGTATGAGGTTGATCTCCCCTACCCCATTTGTTCCCCTCCGCCACCAGCTCTTTGCAGAGGGCTGCATCAAAAGACCTTTTCCGCTCGAGTTTATTTCTGAAGGGCAGTGGACTTTCTGTCGATCTGGAATCTGTCTCTGTCGTGTATTCCAAAGACCTGCTTTTGTGGCTGAGGATGTTTTTGCCAACGCCGGTGGACTGGTTGGCAAAGCATTTGTCGAAAGTGTCAGACAGCACTCTACGCAGGCCGGGTTTGCTCAACTTGCGCCTGGGAGCGGGTGCACTTCCAGGAACTTGGGTCTCGGCTTTCCCAAGGAGCCTCTCCGTTTTCTTACTTGGCACCACATTAAAGTTAGGTAGGTTCGTCTCGCAGGAAAGAGGCTTCAGCGCAATTCTGTTCAGGCCAACCATTTGGCTCAAATCTTTGAGCTCTGACCCAGATTCTATGCTGAAATTGTAAGTCCCGAAATCGAGAGAAAGGCGGGTGCTGTTGAAAATTTTGTCCCGTTGCTGCAGGTGAGCAGAAAAATCCCTGGATAGCTCCAGATCGGTCGAGCCTGCAATGGAAATGAGACGAGACTTATTGTGTCCATGAATTCCACTTAATGATTCATCAAGGGAGCTAATAATTCCACGCTCAAGTTCCATAGAAGTCGACGAACAGGTATTTAAATCTGAGCGCAGGCAAAACTGCTCGCTGTGTGACCTCCCAAAAGAGATTGGCTGATTTTTTTCTCTTATTTCTTTAGATTTATCCTCTCCTGCTTCTCTCTTGTTAAAAAGTTTTAGCGATTGCTTACAAGAGTCTGTCGGGGTTTCAAAAACTGAACCGCTCTTGGCGATAACCGGGCTGGCCGGAGAGCCACCCAAACTTGAGGTGTCCGAAGATTTGGCGTTTCCATTGCCTTCCCTTTGCTGAATACAGCACAGTGCATTCGAATCAGAGTACGACCCTTCTCTCATGGACCGCAAGCCACAAGCAGAATAACTTTTCCAGATGGAATTGTGGGTACGGTGCAGCAGTGGGGTTTCATCTTCACCTCCTTCCAACCTAAACAGCGGCATGATGTGGCTGTCGCAACTCATGACATCTTTCTCATCTGTGGCCAGCGAACATGCACTACCAGGTACGTCACCCCTGATGCTGTCGACCTCATCCTTCTGATCGATGGCCAGATTCTTATCATCTGCAGAGTTATTGAGACTGTTTTCACTGCTGTTAGCAGAAATGTCCATGATGGAAATGTCAGCGGGTTGCTCGATTTGTCTAGGTGGCGACTCGACGGGATCAGCTGACATAATACTTTCATTGTGTCCTAGAAAGAAAATGTGTTGTTTTGAAGGGTGTAGATATTGATGACCCAATTTTTTTAAAATTTGCATTACGGTAACACTATTAGGCCAAAAATTACTTTACAATAATAAAATCTTCAAAGATACAAATATTTCACTCCTTGTTGCTTAGCAAAGGGACACGAAGTTGTTTATACATATTTACTTTCATAAAATTGCTTAAATGAAATCCGTATGCTAAAAATAAATATGTACAATGTTATCAAAACACATTTCCATATATTTGGATCAATCAAAGAATCTTATCTCTAAGAGTTATTAAAACACTAGCTGGGGAAATGCAAACCACGCTTCACATGTAAATTACAAAAAGAGAAACATAGGCTGCAATAATAATTTCAGATGGCGATCCATACATCTGCCAAAGTTTGGTCTTAACGAATCCATATGTGATTTTTGGATGAATTAGGTGCGTTCGTGATCAAGCACACAGTGATGGAACCAGTGAATGAGAGCGCAGCATGATGCGCAATGAGAGCGGGCGGACTAGAAAGATCCACTCAGGAATTATTATTACTGATACTTAATTGCATATTAAAATTTAATTAATTTCATCAAAACATTTCTGAAAAAAAATTATTTGAAAGGATAATGTGAATCTGTGGCAACTGATCAACTAACAACTGTTACAAAGCAGGTAGTGTCTTCTGCCAGCTACATGAACAAAATAATAAGTGCCGATTGCTGACGCACTAATAGGTACTCACTGGACATGAATGACAGCTGCAGCAGCTTGCAGGCCCTTCTGGACTCGGAATCGCTGGCTGATGAGCTCCTCCAAGAAAGAGAATCTTGCAATGTTGATGTCAGGCTGAGTACGGGCGGCGTTGACCCAAAGCTGTTGTACAGCCGACTTTTCTTTATAAACCAATACAGAAAAGACATTTTTTTAAATATTTTTAAATTAAGGTTCGTGCGTAATGGTAGTGATGGTAGGAAAGTTGTGGAGGTGGGAGACAAGGTGTGTGTCTGTGTGGTGATGGTAGGCAAGGTGTGTGTGTGGTGGTGGTGATGGGAGGCGAGGTGTGCATGTGTGTGATGGTGGTGGTAGGCAAGGTGTGTGTGTGTGGTGGGAAGCAAGGTGTATGTGTGTGGTGGTAGGCAAGGAGTGTTTATGTGGTGGTGGGAGGCAAGGTGTGTGTATGTGGTGCTGGTAGGCAAGGTGTGTGTATGGAGGAGGGATGCAAGGTGTGTGTGTGGTGTAGGAAGGTGTGTGTATGTGGAGGTGGGAGGCAAGGTGTGTGTGTGTGTGGAGGTGGGAGGCAAGGTGTGTGGATGTGGTGGTGGCAGGCAAGGTGTATGTATGTGGTGGTGGGAGGCAAGGTGTGTGTGTGTGTATGGTAGGAGGCAAGATGTGTGTGTGTGGAGGTGGGAGGCAAGGTGTGTGTGTGGAGGTGGGAGGCAAGGTGTGTATGTGGAGTTGGGAGGCAAGGTATGTATGTGGAGGTGGGAGGCAAGGTGTGTATGTGGAGGTGGGAGGCAAGGTGTGTGTGTTGTGGTGGTGGGAGGCAAGGTGTGTGTGTGTGGAGGTGGGAGACAAGGTGTGTATGTGGAGGTGGGAGGCAAGGTGTGTGTGTTGTAGTGGTGGGAGGCAAGTTGTGTGTGTGTGTTTGTATGTGTGTGGTGGAGAGAGAGAGTATATTGTATTCAGAAACAAATACAATAAAATAAAGTGACCGGTGCCCCACCTCCCTCCGCCCCACCTCCCTCCGCAGTGAACTAAGATGATAGAAAAACAAAAACAGCATTGAAAAAATTCAAGTCAGACATGAACACAATCAGTCGCTTCATTACTTTATAATCTACAGCTGATTAAAAGATCTCAGACTAAAGCTGATCCCTGACTTCAAACTGGAAAATAATATTTATCTAATTCATTTTCTCTTGTTCCTTTTCTCTTCTTCATTTTTTAATTCCCTTCACATTGGCATTGTTTATGTTATATTCATCAGGTTGCAGCTTTGCAATCTCATCGACGTGCTTAAATCTCTGTTCTTAGCTGAAAGTTTGGTACACAGCTACGTCTTGAGACGCCTTTAATATTTAAAATAGCTGCATCCTTGTTTTATCCCATATTTGAATAGATGTGTTGAAATTTTCATTTGGAAACAACAAACATTTTTTTGTTTAATCTTTAAATCATTTTTTTTTCTTTTTTAAATTGCAACTCAATTTTTGTTTGCATAATAAGATTTCATTTTGCAGTGCAGCCATGTGCATGAAAAAATGTGCATACTTTCCAAATTTCCATCTTGATAAGTATAGAGAGTAGGTAAGAAAACATTCTTAAAATAAATTTGGTCTTTCCGTAGCTGACCCTCTGAAGACTAGTCCGATAACTGAAACGGCATTGATCTTTCGTGATAAAAGAACCAAACAGCCCTTTGTCTTACAGACTGCTGTCCTGACTGAAGCGATGAAAGCAGTTTTATAGTGGATGTGGCATAGGACATGAGCACGTTTCAGCAAAAAAACATTTCAGGCAGAGTGTCCTCGTTTTATAGCCATTTTAATTGTTTCTATAGTATAGTATTTCCTATCCTAATGTCTCATTTTTTTTTTTTTTTTTTTTTTTTTTTTTTTTATTTTTTTTTTTTTTTTTTTTTTTTTTTTTTTTTTTTTTTATTATTTTAGTTAGTTTACATGTTTTTAATAATTGTAAAGCGCTTAGAGCTTTAAGGTAAGCGCTATATAAAAATGCCTAAATAAATAAATAAATGGGTTCAACCAAAGTCTACACACCTGAGATGACCTTTCTGGCCTCACGCTGATAGGCGTGAGCATGCGTCTGGCTAAAGACTGCCTACGGGGCTTCTCCTGAGGAGTACGCGGGTGTGGACGAATGGGGCTTTGGTAAGGTACGGGTGTAGGGGTCTTGACTCTCTCTGGTAGCTTACAATGTGATAAGCTGTTTGTCTAAAAATGTAATAAAAATATCATTTAAAAACTTTGACATCATGAAATCTATTATGAAAGCTATCATGAAATCTCTTTCCAAAACATTCAAACATCTAAAAATTAGGAAATGAAATGCTTAAGGTAAGAAAAAAATATTTTTTTTAGTAAATGGGGGAGAGGGGGGAGGGGGGGGGGTTGTGTGCATGATTCTCAAACGTTTAACAACTTTAAAAATTTGGCACAAATTAAATTTCAAAATACAAAAACGACTTTAAATTTAGAAAAAGTAACTTACGAAATCCAATGACGACTTGAGACTAAGAACTTGTCCAGGGGTTCTCAAGTCCCACATATTTGCAAAGCGGTGATCAATGGGGGTCATGCTACCAGCTTGAGGACTTGCACCTGAAACAGATGTAATTCTGGACAATGCAGACCAGGGGTTCTATGCCTCTGTTCATAGTTGTATGTTTCCGCTCTGGCAAATGGCCTTAAAACAAACATGTCTAAGTCATTTCAATTTAAACTTTTGGTTCCCCCCCCCCTCCCCCCACCACCGGGGCAATAATAAATAATTTAATCCGGATCATTTGAACGCACCGAACAATCTCATGATGAAGATGCACACGCCAATTAGGTATCGAAGGCAAAAAAATTAACATTGATATAAACCCTCTGTGTAAAAGATTTTTTTTTTTAAAGTACCAAGAGACATATCACGTTAGTTTGGTTTAACATCTTGGACATAATAATACACAATCAACAGAAGAGTTGGTTTAGTCATATAAGCTAGTGAAGTCTTGACACACATAATCAAAGTATTTGGTGTCCTGGAATGTATACATGGACTGCATCACAAAAAGAAAAAAAAGGGGGGGAAAAAAGACAATACATAGAGGGGGGTGAGGCTGGGTATCGAAGACAAAAAAATTAACATTGATATAAACCCTCTATGTAAACTATGTAAAAGTTTGTTTTTTTCAAGTACCAAGAGACATATCACGTTAGTTTGGTTTAACATCTTGGACATACTAAAACAAAACCAACAGAAGATTTGGTTTAGTCATATAAGTTAGTGAAGTCTTGACACATCAGCTACATGTATCATCAAAGCATGGGCTTATTTGCTGTCCTGGAATGCATACAGGGAGGCATAACAAAACGGAAAAAAAAAAAAAGGGAAAAAAAGACAATACATAGAGGGGGGGGGTGAGGCTGGGGTGGTTTATGATTGCACGTTTATAGAGTCTTGTATACCTAATTTTTTTGTACTAGCCCCTATAGATAAAATTTCAAAGATTTTATCAAACCACCTAGATTTACATTTAACATCTGCAGGGCACACACAATAGGCCAATTAGCCGAGGAGTCTGTCAATTAGTAATTACCAATTTATCTGCACAATGATTCATTACCACCACCTAAGGTGTCGAAACAAATGTTCTGAACCCCTTAATTTCGGTTGTTGTTGCCAATATGACTTACGATATTCCAATGCTATCTTTGACAGTCCGAAGTCAGTGAGCTTAATATGACCCCTGTCTGATATCAGCATGTTCTCTGGCTTTAGGTCTCTAGAATAAACAAAATGAACACAATGTTTCAGTAAATGCTTTGCAAAAACTTCTAAAGGTGATTCACTTTATTTGAATATGAATCCCACCATTGAACATTGCGCAATGATGAAAATTAATAAATTAAAAAGCACTCAACAAGCGAGAAATAAATTCAGCGCACCTGTGTACGATTCCTCTCTTATGCAGATATTCTAAGGCTAAGGCCACTTCGGCAGTGTACATACAAGACATATCCTCAGGGAAGTAACCATACATGATCAACAAAGACTTCACATCACCACCAATCATATACTCCATGATCTAATGATATGGAAAGAGATGTGTTTCTAAACACAAAAAAACACTGCTTGTTGTCCATGTGTGTATTCTGTTTTCTTAAATTTAGTTTAAACACAATTCATAACATTCAAAAAAACAATTATTTTTGTTACCACTTTAAAATAAAAACCAATAGTATATTTTGTACAACATTAAAATAATATCAATAGTAAATTTTGTACAACTTTAAAATAAATACCAATAGTATATTTTGTACAACTTTAAAATAATATCAATAGTAAATTTTGTACAACTTTAAAATAAATACCAATAGTATATTTTGTCGTGATTGGATGGAGTAGTAGAGCTGGACGACAAACGGACTTCTTGACCTTGCTTGAGCATCACGCTCTGCTGTCACTTAAGTTACAACAAAAATAAAACACTGTCAGACATGAAAGGTTCTAAATTTGCAGGTCATTTGAGCTTCTTTCCTTCATTTTTAACCAGTTAAATTTTTATTGAAAAGATGTATATTTTTTCCTTATCTCTTTTTTGATTTCCACATTATACAATTAAACACTACTTAAATGATTATATTTTTCAAAGGTTTCCTTTTAACTACTAAAAATTAATCAAAACACATTTTTTATTTTTTATATACTGACAGTGAAAAATACATACCTTGGGATATGAGATTTTTGTTGATCAAATCCTGTTTCTTCATCACTTTGATAGCATACATTTTTTCTGGATTTGTCTTCTTGTGACCAAGCCACACTTTGCTGGGGAAAAAAATTTGTTTTGATCAATAACACATAATGCATTTTATGGCTGGCAATTTAAACAGAAATTGCAGACTGCTAAATTTCATAGCGTTTGTATATTCCTATTATCAGCTTACACACGAGTTCCCCGACATTTTTGAGTCGCGACCCGATTTTATAGGAGTCAAAGTGATCAGCGACCCCACTTTATAAACGCAAAAAGTCAGTTGATCATGATAGATATAAATAATAAAAAACATTGAGGAAAAGAAATGGGAACATTATGAAATTATTCAAACTTTATGCAGACCCCGATTAAAAATGAAAATAATATTTATGTTAAAGTTTAAGTTGTTTGTTTTAGCAGGTGACCCCACGAAAAAATTTTCATCGTGAATGACTTATGGATTGAGAATCATGTATATAGCATGTAGATTGACTGACAATGATTACAATATACAAACAAATGGGAGCATATTTTAATTTGTTTAAATATTTATGAACTAATTTTTTTAATCATGATAAAAAATTTAAATTTGTATTAAAAATAATGTAATATACCACTCTTTAAATGCTTTGAATAGAATTAAGTCTTGATATCAGTATCACTTACCCGAAAGCCCCTTTGCTGATAGGTTTTAGTAAAACAAAGTCCTCCGCTGTGGGTGGCTAAAAGACACAGGTAGAAAAAACTATTAACCTAGATGTGGAATAAATTTATTTTTAATTATGACTAAGGGTAACAAGATGAGCATTTAGATGTTTCAAGGTGTTTCCAAAATGGAAACAAGGCGGAGGAAGTTGGCAATGGTAGAACGTGTTCCCTTGGTTTGGTAAAACAACTGTTTTATTTGATATTATTATGGTTTACACTAAACTAGTCCGCAAATTAATTATTAGGCCTATTTATATCTATGAGAAATGTAAATGTAGTCAAATATTTAATTGAGAAATGAACTTATGACTTATTTAACTTATGACGATGGGGCCAAACAATTAGAGTTATTTTTAATCATTGCCCAATCTTTTTGTATAATTTTAGACTTAGTTGTTTCCTTTTAATAAATTTTAAGACAAACCTGACAACACTGAGCATAGTCTGAAATTGTAGACTTAGTTGACATAGACTGGAACTTTAGAGTTTCATTCTCTTCAGTCTGATCCTTTTTTAGAATTTTATCATTCATTTGTGCTTGTGCAAGAAGTGACTGCTTTTCACTATTTACATCTGTGACCGTGTTATCACGCATTATAAGGCAGAGGTCATAATGTAAACATCTAAACATCAATGGAAAGAAATCAACAGGAATTATTGCTCATTTACAATTAAGAAACGACAATGGAAGTAGAGATGTCTAGAAGAAGATGTGGAGAGCAGCAGCAAAACAATTTCAAAATCATATTTTGGATATGCCTCGGCCTAAGACTCCTAATCTAACACTAAGAGTAAGAGATAAGACTTTCAATCTTGCCAACAACAAATAAATTAACTTTAATTAAGTGCAAAAAATTCAATTTCATAATAAACATCAAATAAAATTAATGAAATAAATAAGGTCGTATAAAATGTTGAATTTGCAAATTGTTTGAATAGTGCATAGTTGCCGCATAGTATAGGCCAGTATAGGCCTATTCATAATTCAAATAATGAACGTCAACAAACATGATTCACAACAATCTCACTGAATCTCAGTCACGACGACGGAATAATACTACAGTCTACAGGGTTTTCAGACCACTGATGAAGTTCTCACCACTCATAGTTGTTTTACACCAATTAATTCTACAGTTATACTGATCATTTCAAAAAGGAGGTCTATTTTGACTTGACCGTAGTAGTATTACAAAAATATATTTTTCATAAAGGCCGCCTCAAATGTATGACAATCAATTTTCATTTTATCATTTAGTTTTGTCTTTCATATTTTGAATTTAACAGCAAATTTAAAAACTGGATTTTCTTATTATGTGTAAATATTTTTTTTTAAAAACACAAATACGAAACAATTAATGTTTCTTATTTGAAGCTCATTTAATATTATCCCAACTCTTTCGGAACACTTGCCAATAGAAAATTTGGCATATCAAATGTTATAATTTTTTGCGCATATTTTATCCGATGATTAAAAAAATAGTCCCATTTATTTCCTAATAGCTCGAATTATCTGTTTTTACCATATCAGGCAGCGGTTCTCAACCTGTGGGTCGCGACCCCTTGGGGGGTGGGGGGTGTCGAATTACTCTTTTACTGGGGTCGCGTAAGACCATCGGAAAGCGCATATACTCTACAAGAATAAAGAAGCAACGAAAATAATTTTGTTTTTTTGGGGGGTCGCCACAACTTGAGGAACTGTATCAAGGGGTTGCGGGATTAGGAAGGTTGAGAACCACTGATATAAAGCATTATGTAATGTGTCGTTTTTCGTGGATGAAAGAAATAGGCAAATAGGGTATAACTGAATGATACATTTTAATGATAAATACAAATGTATGCTACATTTAAAACATATATTATGCCAAACGTATAGGCCTAGAGTCATATAGGCCCAGGGGTGGACTGGGCCGCCGGGACACCATGAAGATTCCCGATGGGCCGCTAGGACCGGTGATATAATAAAAATAAAAGTCATGAAGATAGGGTCAATTTTTTTTTTTCCCGGGCCGCTTTGATTTACCGGGCCGCTTGAACTCCCCAGTCCACCCCTGCATAGGCCTATTTATCATTCGGACATTCATTAGACTTTAGAATCCAAACAAAAGAAGCGTATTTTGTATGATTTCAGAGAGAGGTATCACGGTATCAGCCAGGGACACATCCATATAGTATCACGGTATCAGCCAGGGACACGTCCATATAGTATCACGGTATCAGCCAGGGACACATCCATATAGTATCACGGTATCAGCCAGGGACACGTCCATATAGTATCACGGTATCAGCCAGGGACACGTCCATATATTATTTTAACAATTGAAGTCCCCCCCCCACCTCTCAAACCCTCTATTGGGGCCGCACATTAATTACGTCAACAGTTTTTAAGCAATTTTTGACCTCCTCCCCCCTTGTCAACAACTGTCAAACTTTCAGTGACTCCCACCCCAATCCCACACCCTCGCCTAATTATGTTAACATTTGTATAAATTAAAAAATAATAATAATAATAAATGAATTATAATAATATAATACAATCGTATAGAGAATTATTAGTCTGCATTCTATTGCATTAAAATACCAGATGCTTCGAAAATGAACCATATCAACTGTAAAATTTCAAAATTTTCTTGGGGGCTCAGACTGAGCCTCCAGATCCTGTCGGTCTGAGAAGGGGTGCAAACTTTGTGTCATGTCCCCGGGCGCAGATGACCCTAGCTACGCCACTGAAAGGCATTGTCAGTGTGAGCAATAATTGCCATAAGCTCTCTCTGTCTCCTTGCAGGTACTTGCATTAGTTTTTTTTTTTTTTTTTTTTTTTTGAGTAGCGGGTGGTAATTTCTTATGCATTGTCGGTGCTGTTGAACTTGCTATTTCAACATGACTTGTGGTGCAAAATAGATGTTACAGTTACAGATTTTGCAAATCCGTTCAGGCAGCGATGTTATCACTGTTACTCACTTTATTTTCCCCTAATTCTCAAAATATCGTATTCCTACTATATCCATACCATTTATCTTATAACCGCACATGACTCTTGAACCTTGTCCTTGTTCCATACCTGCAACATGACCGCAAACATACCGCTCTAGTCATTTGCCACAAATAGAATCTACAGCCGAAGAGAGACCAACTTTTGACTCAACTTGCATTAACTAAAGGTGCTAACAGTTGCGAACAATGTGAACTATTTTCAAAATGTGCCATCTCATTTCTGATTTTTAAAACTAGGCTAGGCCTATACAAAAATATAATAATAATATTTGTAGTTAAATAAATAAAATTAGATTTATTGCAGAAAAAGTTAATGTCAATTTGGCACAAAAAAGAAATTTTTTTTATATATTTTTTTAATATTTAATTGAGAGTAGTTCATCTTTAAGAGATAATTAAATTATTTCTGATAAAGAAAACTGTACATGTCATAAAAGAGTCACGAGTCTGATACGGTGCGGAAAATGACTTTTATTTAATAGTCTCAATAAGTTAAATGACGCATTTAGGCAATGATTTGTCAATGAAGAAGGTGTGTTTATATTTTCCATTCCATAGACTAATTACTACGTAGGCACACAGCTTCCTGGTCTGACAACAAGAGAGGGTTTAGGGAAACTTTTAAACCCAATATCAAGGACTTATTCACACAGTGCTTCTGTTGGTTGATTCTTTACTTCCAGCCCTGCTTGTAGTGCCATTAAATTTAGAAACCAGACTTTTGAAAAGGTAAATCAATTCAAATGCCTAGGATTCTTAATAAACGAAAGAAATGATACTTTTAATGTATTTGTAATAATAACACTTAAACTTTTACTAAAATAAAAGCGGATAGGCCTATATATTTTTTGCGCATTTTAATTTATTCGATTCCCGTAAAATAATAGTAAATAGATATGATTGTTTATAAGAATCCAAACGTGTCTAAATCTTATCGGTTCTTTAGCGTTATGTCAGCATAGCTCATTCTTATATAAACAGGGATGGATGGACATTCAATTGTAATAACTGCATACCTTGATATTTGTTTGACACTACTTTGATTTTGATTATTAGGCTTAGGCCTACCGACCATATTATGAAGCTGAAATAGTGTTCATTTTTATATCTATAGCTAAAGATGCAATTATGTGAAAGATTTTACCTTTGGTATAGTCTTTTTTATTTTGTTGTTAAAATAAATAACCATATTTCAATATACAGAATTATGGTTGAATTATATATACTTTATTTTTAAAAAGAAAATATAAAACATTGTGTGGTGAAAGTAAAATGGATCTGGGACTTAAGAATTTCAATTAAGTTCAGGGACATGCAAAAAAATAGTGTTTGTGTACATAGGGGGCTACAATCCCGTGGATGATTTTATTTATTTTTATTAAAATCTGGGGTGGGGGATTAAACACCTTCAGTTTGCCCCAGGCAGCACAAGATACACCTCAGAATAAAGGGATGAATTTGATAAATGATCAAACCTATTAGGTACGTAATTATCAATGGTCGGAAATAGGGTGTGTACCATTTCACGTGGATGACAATATCTTTAATCAAGGGTGACAATTCTGCAGCACACAGAAGCCATGCTTTGAAACAATCCGTAGCCCAGTTATGCTTTGGAAAGCTGGGGCAAGAAGCTGCTGGCAATGTTGCAGTCTCATGACAATCAAGAGTGCTAGGCCCTATATGTCTGTTTAGCTGAGCCGAGGATCTGTTGTATGTGTTCTTTCAAGATTCCCCCATCATTTTAGTCAAGATATAATAAATCATTGGTTTTGATGGAGATCTTCCAAAAGAATTTCAATGCACGTTACAATATTAAAGTTCAAAATTATTCTCTTAAATCTCTCAGAGTTGTTAATGCGAGTAAATATATTTCATAAATCAGAATTTACGTATAAATTATGCCGCCTCATTTTGTTTCACACACATTAACGTTTGACACAACCTGACATTTGACTGAAATTAAATAACACATGGAGCATAACAACATTTGATTGAATTTATATAACACAAGGAACATAACATCATCATGGAGACGAGATTTTATTATTTAAAAAAAAAAATTCTTATACTTTTGGAAGACATGGAAGAGATGGACACAGTTTAACACAAGCAGTATGACCTACACACATTTTAAAAAAAAAAAGTTTTCAGCACAGCATTTTCTGTTCTTGTGAATAAAACCATAGACCCCTCTTACATTTTGAGCATGAACATCTCACAGTAGTTTTTTTTTTTTAACCGGTATGAAAAACTAACCAAGAAATCAAGTGTATTTTACCCTATAAGATTTTTGACAATGACAGTTTCTGACTAAAAGTCATCACACTTAAATAAGAATTGTAATCACACTTCAATCATATAGCAAATCTAGTTTCTTGTAACAATTGTTTATTCAAGGATCTTATTTAATTTGTGTCATCATTCAGGCGCAAAACATGGGAGGGGAGGATCAGAATCAATTTGATTGGACATGCAAAGAAAAGTTTCAATCACCGATACACCACTAATGATCAAATGGACACAAGCTAATCTCTATCTGATCTTGTTTAAGTGAAGCTCTATGTGATCTTGTTTTAAGTACATAGATAGAATGTCTCTTTACCGCCTTGGTTAAACAATTACCATTTTTTATACAAGTCACTTGGAAAAATTCCTAAAAAAAAAAAAAAACAACAAACATTATTGACAATGATTTAGTCTGGTTCAACAATTCCAAATCATATTAACCTTCAGATTTGGACTCAGTTAATAATACAAATGAATCTGGTTTATAAAAGAGAATTTAGAATTTTAAAAATTTTTTAATTTTAATAGTGCACTAAATTATTTAATAAATGAGAAAAAAATTTGTTGGTACTTTTTTAAAATTATCATTAGAAAGGACTAAAAAAATATTTTATTACAATTTATTTTAATGACTACAAATGACGTAAATGACAATGCTATAAATAAAATTTGTAACCGATTGGCATCAACGGAAATATAAACATATTAAAAAAAAACTGGTGCATACAATATTAATAGTAACTTTAGTGATCTTAATATTTAAAAAAAAAAAAAAAAAAAAGAAATAAAAAAAAAGTAGGCAAAAAATAAAAAAATTTGTAACCAAATGGAAAAAACGAAAAAAAAAAAAAAATAAAAAAAAAATGGGTCAAAAAATATTAAAAATAAATTTAGTTATTTTAATATTTAAAAAAAAAAAAAAAAAAAGCTATTATACAAAAGTCGGCAAATAATATTTGGCAGTCATGTTTTAATGACTTCAAACAACTCTATCAAAGTGTGAAGTTTAAATACATCGGTACTTTACAGTTACAAACAATTCACGGAGATTTAAACATAAATTCTTTGCTGTCAGCAAATTTCTATTGACGATACTACTCAGCTTTTAAATAAAGGCAAACTTCTGCAGCGCTGCAGATTTACGGAACAAAAGTCACAAATGATGAAAAGCATGATTTTTATTAAAAAATTTTATTAACACATTTATGGCATCACTGCAACAAAATACTTTCAATGGGAGGTTAAACGTAAAAATTGTTTGAATTATATATTAATTTATTATTAGAAGTTTGAGTTGTCATATATCAGCACCAATGACAAGCTTAAATGATGCAAAACCTATGACAAGCTTATATGATGATTTTTTAACCAAAAACCTTCAATCAAGTAGGCTATTAACTCGCAATTAAAAAGAATAATTAAATGCCAGAAGATAAAAATTGCAACATTTGACTAGAGGATTTCAATAAAAACATTTCATGTAACAAATTAATAAATAAGTAACTACTTCAATTATTCCAGAATTAACGGTATAATAATTATAAGGAACACAAATGTCTATACACTTTTTTGTAAATCCAGTTTGCCTACTGGAGAATACATTTTAAAAGTCAAATTCTTGGGGGGAAAAAAGGTTTGTAGAAATCTTTTAAATATTACATGATTTTAAACTTTTTTTTTTTTTACAAAACAACATTTATGATGCAAATAGTTAAAACCAACAGAAAGGCACATTTTGTTTTATTTTGTTTTGTTTTTTTTTTTGTCTTTTTCTTTTTTAAAATTAAACCACTCCTTAGAGAATCTGAACATTTTTCAACTTCAGCCATCACATAAAACAAAATAAGTAAAACAGAAACTGACGACAATGGGCAGACATAGCGCTTTTAAAAAGATGTTCAATGATAATGAAATCCAATGCATTCATTCAGCACAAAATTGCCATTTTACGACCTAAACGCTAATTTTGTCAATCAATCTAAAAATTTTTTACACACATCTTCATTTATCAGCTTTTATTTTTCAAAAATATCCCCATAATAATAATGTTATAAATTAGTGGGGAGAACATTTTTTTAAAAATCAACACTGCTAATAAGTTTATGCACAATACCCATCTAAAATAGCGTTTAAAAACCTACAAAACTGGCTTGCTTAAAATTCCTCTTTAAAATCAAAGAAAGCCAAGCTCCTGCTGGCAATTGTAGACCAAACTTCAATGTTCAGATTTTGCCCTGCTATAAAGCTTTAAAAATGGGCCCAAAATGTTAAAAAGAAGATCAATTTAAAATATATATATTTTTTTTTTTTACCTTCATCAAATACTGAATTTGAGTAAGTTACCTATAAGACAATCATGCTAATTTTAATTTACAAACATAACCAGGCAAACCAACATCAAAACTTAAACCATCAATAATAAAAAAAAAAGGTTTGTAAAAGATGTTCTTGTATATTTGTCAAGCATCTGAACAGACTTCATACATTGCATAAGTTTTTTTTAAATAGCACTTAAGTCTGCCATCTGTATAGTATCTGTTATTTTAAAGTCTCAATTGTATTGACTAGAGATTTTTAAGGCATTTAAGGCAATTCAAATTCCTTTGTTCAAGTTTATCATTGGAAATTTTTTATCAAGAAAAAGAATCCTCAAAACAAATGCAAGGTAACTTTGCACTGCCTCGTGGCCCTCTGATACAACAACCAAAAAAAAAAATAAAAAAAAAATAAAAAAAGGAACACAATCACCATAATATCTAAATTTTTCAAACGTTAAAATTTAATTAAAATACATTTCAAGTTATATTGGCAGGAGAAAAAAAAAGGAAATTAAACACAAAAAAGATACTTTCGGACCATGATGACAAAAACCCTGATATAATAATACTGAAGGCACACTAGATAATTCTTCAAAGAAATAAAGAATTGACAGACTTTTGACAATCATACAATCCCAGTTGCCTATGCCAGCTACACACTCAAATATACCAAATTTAGGACCCAAAAAAAAAAAACAAACAAGATATTTTTATTCTTTCACTCTGACTATCTCAACTCTAGGACACTCTATCTTCTAGATAAGATGGCCGCCAATATCAGCTGCAAGAAGATTGCTAGGAAGGAAGCTGATGTCTTGAATGATGTATTTTTATCACCCGTTGCAGCTGAAATGGAAAAGTTTACAGAAAAATTACTTCAAAATTGGCAATTTAAATAGCTTTTTTCATGATGTGTTGTTGATTTAATTAAGTTAGTTACATATAAAATTTCCTAGTTAAGTAGTCGTATCTGTTTGCAGTTTTGAAAGCATGATATATCTCATCAATAACTTGTGAATAATGATGTTCAAAATGCAATGCTATGTCATAGATATGTAAAATTGGCTTCCTGTTTAATAATAGCCATCAGTGTCTTAACATGTGTTATACTGACTAATGGTACATATTAAATAATTAATTTGCACAACAGAGATACAATAGATTTTTTATGCGGCGGTTAAGTGGTTAAGTTTGTGACAAGTATTATTTTGGTGACCAGCATGGTGATAAAAACAAAAATCTGATTTTTAACAAAATCATCTACAAAGTTAAGCGATGAGTTCAAGTTCTGGCAGCAGAACGGAAAAGGTGCATCATACCTGCTTTATATTTTGAAATCCTAAAAAATGGCTTCTTCAATTTGCTGATGTTTTATATTTGTTAATCAAAATTATCTGTAATGTATTTGTATTTGAGTTTACCAGGTTTTGTTCACATATTTGCAAGGTAATATTTCTTTTTTAAAAAGGTAAGTCCTAAATCTTCCTTTAAAATTAAAGCTTTTTAATTGAGGAGCTAAGCAGCCATTTGACTATTTGCATAAATTCAGTCAATGTATAGGCCCTATCTGAAATAAAATTATTTAATACGAGATATTGTCTACAGTCAGCAAGACTTTGGAATTTGTTAAATTGTTCATAATAATTAATTTCTATTTTGAAAGTATTTTTTTTAACATCAGTTTCTACAACAATAAAAATTTGTGAAAAGAGGCTATTTATGAAAATAGGTTACAGTGTCATAGATTAAAGGAAAAAAAACACAGGATAAAATTTCAAATATTTTAAGAAGTTATGAAAAGAGGTTTTATTGATTTAAACGGCAATAAAATAGATGAATTAGCATTTTTTTTAAAAGACGCTAAGCCAGCACTGCAAATAAAGTGCAGCCTCGAGCAATAGAAAATACTTTTTTTTCCCCTAAAAGTTCCTCAAATATGAAAACTGTTGCAATTTTTTCCCCTTCAACAAAATGTAAGGGGTTAGCTTTAATATTGTTTATAATTAGAGATTGTATAAAAGAAGATGAATACTATTTCATTCATGGATTTTAAAGTTAATCTTAGCTGCTAATGTAATGATACATTTTAGGAGATCAATTTAGTTCTTTCGGAAAATACAAAAAAATTAAGTAATTGTACAGAGTGCCCCAAAAAAACATGGTAACCTCCTTTACAAAGTAATTTAAATACATAAATATTTTTTTAGTTTTATCGATAATAGCTTTAAGTCTTTGAGAAGCAGGGGGGATGCATTGAATAAGTTTGCTGATTAGCATAATATTTGGCATTCAAATGCAAATGATAAAATATATTTTAATTCAGTTCCATTAGTTAAATAACTCCTGACAAACAATATGAGGTTCTCACTTTTTGACCCATCCTGTACATAAAAGACATGCTAATCAGTCTGTGTATTATATTGTCTGCATACATTTGAGTAAAATTTGACTCTGCGATGTACCAAAATTAAATCATGTTAATTAAATTTTTAAAAAGTAATTTAATGTTTAGAATTTAATAGCATTCCTCAGCAAGGACTAAATTAAATTTAAATTGAAACAGTATATTTGAACTTAATACAGTTAATTCTTCTATGTCTTTATTTCAGATATTGTCTCTAAAACTGGTGTCAATAATTTATGTTTAAAAATATACATTACATTTTCTTTCTGATATTTGATATAAGGGGGAGGGAATTAAAAAAAATAATAAAAAAATAGGGGCACCAAGAGTAAATTTTAGTAAAACATTGTCAAGGGTTGTTTTTTTTCTTTTTGTTTTCAATTTTTTACTGTGCAAAATATTATGGTATTTTTAAAGGTTAGTTTTCATTTTCAACATAAGTTATAATTAGTGTATGTTCATGCTATTTAAATAAATAACTTTAGACTAACTGGATTTCTGAGGGGAAATAATGTTTCTATTTTTCAAAACTAATTGGATTAAATTATACAATATTACTCGCAGATGACACGCAGCTATACAAGCATACCAATCCATCTCTTGTCGATTCTGCTATCTGGACGTTTCATGAGAGCATTGATGATGTCAAGACATGGATGACACTCAGCAAGTTGAAGCTTAACGATGACAAAACGGAAGCACTCCTTATTCACGACCACAAATCATCCTCTAACTCAGCTCTCCCCCATTTCATTTCATATAGGTAGCTCTGATATACAGTTTACATTCTCTGCTAGGAATCTTGGTTATATTCTGTCTAAAAACATGTGTCTTGATAAACATCTCTCACATTTGTCCCTCTGCTTACACCGCTATTCGTCAGATCAGCTCCATCCGCCTATACCTTACGGTTAGTGCAACAAAACCGCCCTTGTCTGTGCTCTTGTTCTCTCTTGTCTTCACTATTGTAACTCTCTTCTTTCAGGTTCACCAAAACACTTCTTAGAAAAATTACAAAAGGTTCAAAACTCAGCTGCTAGGCTAATTCTAAAGGCAAGAAAATGTGATCACATCACACCACTACTTCATTCAATTCATTGGCTCCCTGTACAAGCACAGATTGACTACAAACTCTCTGTTCTCTGTCTTTTCCTCAAATTCCTCCCCTTCCTATCGAATTGAACTTCTCTCTGTCTATTCACCCCTTCGACAGCTTCGCTCCTCCGCAGATGTGCGTATTCTTTCTGTCCCCAAGACTCGCACAAAACCATACGGTGAACAATCGTTCTCTTTCTGTGACCCCAAACAATGGAATTCTCTTCCATTACACATCCGCAATATACCGACCATCACAGCCTTCAAAACTGCACTCAAAACGCATCTTTTTAAACTCTTTGCAATTCTGACTGATTCCCACCTCTGACCGAAAAATGATGCTACTGGGTGTCGTCCATGGCTTGATATGTAAATAGTTTTAAATATACATTTGTTTTGTTTTATTTAATTAATGTATGTCAATTTTTAAAAGTTTTTTGATTACGTATGTTAAATTGTATGTATAGCGTGGTGAGCCCAGCCCTAGGCTGGGGTACCACGCTATATAAAAACCACATATAATAATAATAATAATAATAATATACTGTACATAAAAAAATAGGAGATGTGTTCAATCCTGAAGTGTAAAAAGATTACATTAAAAAACAGCAACCCCCATAGTTAGACAGACTTCAATGAATTGTGTCACAATGTTGGAAAGCAACAAACTTATTTAAAATTTTATGCGGTTGAATTTTTTAAAAATCATATCAAGCAAATTAGTGTTAGTACTTTACAACGTAGGCATCCGTAACACCATGACCTCATTAAGCTGGGCAGTTAATAATTTATTATGTGGGCATCCATAACGACATGACCTCATTAAGCTTGGCAGTTAATAATTTACAATGCAGGCATCCGAAACAACATGGCCACATGAAAGCATGTATAAACAAGTGCACAACATTGATCAGGGTACTGTCTTGTTGGTCATTATTGGCAAAACAGGGCGCAGCATTTTGTGATTGGATAAATAAAACAATCATGGCGCATGTCTTTGCTCTTATAGCAGCAATCAAGTGTTAATTGTTCTTGTGTTATTTTTTGGCAACTACGTCCTTATCAATGTGTAAAGTTAAAACAAAACTCTCTGATTTGAATCTATGAAGTCATGATTAGAGAAAATATTCTACACAGTGGTAGAGATGATTTGATGAATGATACCACTTGGGAATATTTATCATGTATCTGATCGTGACAAAGAAATGAAAAGATTCTACACAGTGGTAGAGATGATTTGATGAATGATACCATTGGGGGATATTTATCAAGTAGCTTATCCTGAGCATAAAATGAAGTTTAATGGTAATAAAGGTTGAGTAGCTCCGGCTCTAATTCATGAACATTAGATTCTATGAAACAGCTCCGGCTCTAATTCATGAACATTAGATTCTATGAAACAGCTCCGGCTCTAATTCATGAACATTAGATTCTATGAAACAGCTCCGGCTCTAATTCATGAACATTAGATTCTATGAAACAGCTCCGGCTCTAATTCATGAACATTAGATTCTATGAAACAGCTCCGGCTCTAATTCATGAACATTAGATTCTATGAAACAGCTCCGGCTCTAATTCATGAACATTAGATTCTATGAAACAGCTCCGGCTCTAATTCATGAACATTAGATTCTACGAAACTTTACACAATCATAGGAAGATGTTTTCACGGGCAAGTTAAAGCTGGCATATAGTGTCGGAGAATTCCTCCTCTCACCTGATCTTCCAGACTGCACATCCCCATCCTCTTCCGCATTTTTATCCTCCAAGTTTTTCTCCCCGTTTGTATCCTCTTCTTCAGGGCGACGTCCACCATCAACCATCTTGTCGTCATCATCGTCATCCTCTTCGTTGTTGCCCAACTCCTTTTTGGACTCATCTTTTGTCCCACCTTCTTCTTCATCAGAACTTTTGTCCTCTGAATCATCACCGCCATTGCTCTCACTTGCATCTCCACCATTTTCCTTTTCATTTTCTTTATCATCCCTTATTTTCTCTTCAGAATTTTGTGTATTGGGTTCAACTCTTTCTCCTTTGTCCCCAAAATCAATATTTATTTCATGGTTCAATTTGCCCTCACCCGTGGTGCTAAATGGGTATGGATTACTGGTATACCACATATTCTCCATTGTATTCTCATCATCAATCTTTCCCTTACCTTTAGGGTCTTCAGGGTCTCCGATTTTGTTTTCACCATCTTCATTATTACCACCTGCTTCTGTTATCTTTTCTTCACTGTCGTTGTCATCGCTATCTGGCTTAAGGCCATCATCAGATTTGCCATCGGGCTTTGGTTCTCCATCGGGCTGTGGTTCTACATCTGGCTGGGGCTCCACTTCTGGCTCACTTGTAACTAAATTTAAAATATTGACTTTAATTTTTTTTTTTTTAAATTTCACCATCTTGTGTTTTTTAAAAAAAAGTCTAAGTAAATGTCATCGATCGTATCATAACACCAAACAAATTTTACAATATCATATCCAAAGTTTGAGAAATGTTAACTATGCAATTAATATTACATCTGACAAAAATTCAGACAGGACACACGCATCCCCCGCCCCCTATTAAATATCTCAACTCTAACAAAACATCATGTTGCAAAAACGTGAAGTCACAAGCCTGCCTCACCTGCACCGCATACTTTCTTTTGTGTCGACAACCATTCTAAGTCTTGTTTCAACTCGTCCAATTCACACGTTCTGACAGCTTTAGCTGTGCAATCTACGAGTGTGTGCATCAACCTTGGGAAACATTCAGTCAAATAACTATATTATACTAGGCCTATTTATAGTTTGGTTAACTACAGCAATAATTTTTTTAAAAGCCATTAAATTGGGTTTACAAAAAAAAAAATTAAAAAAAAATCAACTTATAAATTATTATTTAATACAATGGATCAAAAACAGTTTATATATTCATTTGTTCTTCTTCAAAATTCCTTAAAGAGATTTATTTGTTTTTGAGGTGATCTGTAAGATAATGAAGTTTATAGGGGAAAAAAAGAAGTGTGGATGGGCACTCTACGAAGCCACAGAAACTCTGTGTAGATGGGCACTCTACGAAGCCACAGAAACTCTGTGTAGATGGGCACTCTACGAAGCCACAGAAACTCTGTGTAGATGGGCACTCTACGAAGCCACAGAAACTCTGTGTAGATGGGCACTCTACGAAGCCACAGAAACTCTGTGTAGATGGGCACTCTACGAAGCCACAGAAACTCTGTGTAGATGGGCACTCTACGAAGCCACAGAAACTCTGTGTAGATGGGCACTCTACGAAGCCACAGAAACTCTGTGTAGATGGGCACTCTACGAAGCCACAGAAACTCTGTGTAGATGGGCACTCTACGAAGCCACAGAAACTCTGTGTAGATGGGCACTCCACGAAGCCACAGAAACTCTGTGTAGATGGGCACTCCACGAAGCCACAGAAACTCTGTGTAGATGGGCACTCTACGAAGCCACAGAAACTCTGTGTAGATGGGCACTCTACGAAGCCACAGAAACTCTGTGTAGATGGGCACTCTATATAACCAAAGAATTCGAGTTGGTTGCAGACAAAGCTTAAATACTAATTTTAAAAAATATTTTTGGCACAGATTTTCTTTGTGTAATGCATTTTAAGCAACTGTAACCTTTTAGTGCATTTAAAATCAACTTTGATAAAAAAAAAAAAATTTAAATAGTTTTTGATTTGGACATTAACATACAAAATTTTTTATATTATAAACAAAAATCTCCAAATCCTACAGCTTTTATTTGAGCGTGCCTACCCACCCTACATGAAACAAAGTAGTTCCAATGAGACAATCAATACCTTAGCTGTGATCATTTCCTGAGTAAATGATCAACTGAGCAAAAATGTCACGTGTGTAAAAAAAACAACCTAAAAAACCTCTCCATCCACCAGGTGGGATGCAAGTAGAAAGAAAATCTTTAAAATATGCTTATGATGAGTGGAAATGGTTGACAATAATATAGCCAAACACACTTTAGTGAAAACCACCTTTTAAAAATATCTAAGTCTAAGGCTAACATTATCCAATCTTTATGCTTTATTGAAATGATATGTTGTGTGGATTCATACAAATAAAAGAAATAAAACATTTTTCTGCAAACAGAAAATAATATATATATTTATATATATATAGTCTATATATATATATATATATATATATAAAAATATACTTTTTTTTTGTTTTTTAGATTAAAGTATATTTTTATAAATTCGTAAATAATGTTTGTTAAGTAGGGTAATAAAGGCGTTGCTATATCTTACCTGCACCAGTAAGTTACGTTGTTCCGAGACAGAGTTGTAATTTCTAAATCACATTGTGTCAACTCATCACAAGTTGCAACAGAGGAGCTTCTGAGAACCACTGGAATAAACAAAACAAAACATCCAGGTGATCAGACAATAGCATGGAAAGATAATAGTAGAAAATAAAAAAGTAATATCTGAAGTAACAAGGTAATCTTCAAGGTAATTAGTCCGATAGTATGGACCTTTCACTTTAAATTCTTAATCTGACAAGCAGTTATCAAAAACTAGGGGTAATAAGGGGAGAGACTGCAATCAGGTTAGTACAAAATAAAATGAGTAAAACAGAGTATGGTTAAACCTGAAAAATTAAATGCAACAAAACAGCGAACGTGTCGGCAGAAAGCCTTCGTCAGCGAACAAAACAACAGAAAAAACATTATAAAAATAAGAAATAGCACTTAGCTGGTAAGTAGTATCTGTGGGCAGCAATAGAAGACACTTCTATTGCTGCCCACAGATACTACTTACCAGCTAAGTGCTATTTCTTATTTTTATAACGTTTTTTCTGTTGTTTTGTTCGCTGACGAAGGCTTTCTGCCGACACGTTCGCTGTTTTGTTGTAGACACTTCTATTGCTGCCCACAGATACTACTTACCAGCTAAGTGCTATTTCTTATTTTTATAACGTTTTTTCTGTTGTTTTGTTCGCTGACGAAGGCTTTCTGCCGACACGTTCGCTGTTTTGTTGCGTTTAATTTTTCAGGTTTAACCATACTCTGTTTTACTCATTTTATTTTATCAAAAACTAACAGGATATCTGTCATAATAATATTATGTAGGCCTCCAGTTGGAAATTTCTTTCTTATGTCAAATGTGCCAAAATATATTGAGTGATCCTATAGAAAACCTAAATCTGGTACAATATTGAGTGATCCTATAGAAAACCTAAATCTGGTACAATATTGAGTGATCCTATAGAAAACCTAAATCTGGTACAATATTGAGTTATCCTTAAAAAAAACCTACATCCGGTGCAATATTGAGTGATCCAAAAGAAAACCTACATCCGGTGAAATATTGAGTGATTCTATCGAAAACTTACATCTATTACAATATTGTGTAATCCAATTAACCACCATCTGACTGCCCTGTCCAGCGTCTTCTTGCTGTACTAGTGTTACATTGCATTCACTCAGGCCTCCATCAACACAAGTGAAAAACTGTTGTGTGTTCCTGGTGATATTTAATTGAAATTTATTATTTTTGTTTGCAGTCAATTACAAAATATATGATAAGATATTTGAAACATTAGAGCAGGCTTCAGGTTTATTCTGAAGAACAAAGTGAAACAGCTGTTTATTGAAACTTCTCTCAAGATAAAGCTAAGGGAATCAGCTGTTTTTTTAAAAACTTGTCTCAAGATAAAGTTAAGTGAAACAGCAGTTTATTGAAACTTCTCTCAAGATATCTGAATGCACATCTGTTTGTGCTGGTATACATCATTTATATTCTGTAATAAATTAAATCACAAATCTCCTATGCTTATTGTTAAACTTTAAAATACTAAAATTTGGGTTTCATGAGAATCAATTAACTCTTAGTGGAAAATTATTTTCTTCCCTGAATTATATTATTTAGTATCTTTTAAACCATAACTGGTTGCACCTGCATTTTCCTGACCATAAGTCAGTTCTAAAAAAGAAGAAAAAAAAAACAACAAAACTTACTCGCATATTTCCTTTATCGGCAGACGTTTAGCTACGCCAGAGTTATCAGGTAAGTTTGAAGAGATAACCATACAGCTTTCAAGGCTGGCACATTGTTCTGTCATGGGAAGAAATATGTTGTTTCATGAGCGGCAGAAAGATCATTCAAAATTACATTCCTCACTAGGGGTAAAAAGACAGTTCTAACACTAGGGGCAAAAAGACAGTTCTAACACTAGGGGCAAAAAGACAGTTCTAACACTAGGGGCAAAAAGACAGTTCTAACACTAGGGGCAAAAAGACAGTTCTAACACTAGGGGCAAAAAGACAGTTCTAACTCTGGTGTGGTACAAATGAATTCCCAGCCAACATTAATCAAATAATATTTGAAGTTAATAACAATTTAAAAAATGGTTGATTTAATTTTTTTGGTATTGTGTCTAATATGGATAAGTTTCTTTCGGTATTAAAAAGTTACTTTGACGAAGGAGGTTTGTGTGCATTAGCTGTCTGCTTCGACATAGGGCATCAAACTTTTCATTGTAACTGGCGGAGTCCAGAAGGCAATTATCCCCATTTCAAAAGCAACCAGGACATAATTTATTTAGTCTATTTTTGGGGGGGCAAGTCACCCTGTTTTAATGCCTTTGTATTAAGAAGAAAGGGGCAAGTCACCCTGTTTTAATGCCTTTGTATTAAGAACAAAGGGGCAAGTCACCCTGTTTTAATGCCTTTGTATTAAGAACAAATGGGCAAGTCACCCTGTTTTAATGCCTTTGTATTAAGAACAAAGGGGCAAGTCACCCTGTTTTAATGCCTTTGTATTAAGAACAAAGGGGCAAGTCACCCTGTTTTAATGCCTTTGTATTAAGAACAAAGGGGCAAGTCACCCTGTTTTAATGCCTTTGTATTAAGAACAAAGGGGCAAGTCACCCTGTTTTAATGCCTTTGTATTAAGAACAAAGGGGCAAGTCACCCTGTTTCGATGCCTTTGCATTAAGATTAAGAACAGACGCATTAAAAAAAAGCAATCTGCTGCCCTGTGTTGATAATGTTGGTTTACTTACTAACAGTGTCCCGTCTCCAAACACTTCAATAGTAGCGACCACCAGGGCAAGGCGGACTTTTCTATAAGTGCGATTGTGGCTAGCACTAACACCGCCAGCCGGGTCAATTTGGAACACAGACTTATCCTGACTTACGGCACTTTGACGCCAGATGGGATTAATGTTATGTCTCTGTTCACAGCTTGACCCTAGCTCCGCCTCTCCACGTTCTGACCTATCACAGTGAACATTTTTCTCCCCCCTTTTTTTCGCCCCTGCTTATTTAAACTCTCACTCATTTTCCTTCTGCCACACTTCTATTGCTGCCCACAGATACTACTTACCAGCTAAGTGCTATTTCTTATTTTTATAATGTTTTTTCTGTTGTTTTGTTCGCTGACGAAGGCTTTCTGCCGACACGTTCGCTGTTTTGTTGCGTTTATTTTTTCAGGTTTAATCCTACTCTGTTTTACTCATTTTATTATGGTTTACTTACTAGCAGAGCAAGCCATTTGCCATTGCTTTTGTGTCATTTTAGCTCCCCCTAGAGCCTCTGGACTCAATTGTTTTGATAATGTTGGTTTACTTACTAGCAGAGCAAGCCATTTGCCATTGCTTTTGTGTCATTTTAGCTCCCTCAAGAGCCTCTGGACTCACTTGTTCAGAGCATGCCATGACGAAGCCAGACATGCATTCATCATACTGAGGCTGAGCACTGTTTACAGGTGAACAAAAAATTTGTTTCAATTTAACAGACAAAAATTAACCTTGAGATATACTAGAATCTATTAATAAATCTATTAATAAGGTAATGAGAAAAGTTACCATTTAAAAAAAAAGAAAAAAAAAAAAAGTCCTTTAAGTTAACACATCATATCTGCCACTTAAGCTTTCTCAATGAATACAAAAGACAACGTTCAATGACTAAAGACCCCCAATTATATCACTCACTCGCATTTCGCAAATTCATTGTTTTCTCTTGCCAGTATGCCAGAGCAGGTGGCGAGCTTAGCAATGCAGTTTGTCTGTTCACCTGTTTTATTTATTGAAATGTTACATTCATTAATGATTAATGCTTCAGATCAGTGATTTCAGTGAGATTTGTTGTGGGAAAAATGAAAGATCATGAGTTGTGCCTCTTTATAATTATTTATCTCCCCTGTCCCCAGAGGGGTAGGCTGAAAGTTGGTCAAGCTTAATATTTTAAATGTCTCAAAATGAATTGAAAAAGGAAAAAGTTTTTTATCGTGTGTGAGAGCTAATAGGCTTTCCTGTGGCCTCAGGGCCAATAATATGACAGGGCTATGATAATTGCATAATTATTATTTATTATATATATCATTACTGGATATTGTAATTTAATAATAATTCATTGAGCTGAACTGATGTCTTCTGATGCAACGATTTGTGTATACAATTCATAAAATGATACTGATTTTACTAAGACAATATAGAAATTGAAATTTTTATAATTTCTAATTCAAAATAATATAACAGCACTCATAAAGTATTTTTTTTCAGCCTCTCTCTTATAATATCAGATGTTTGTTTCAGTGTTACATTCTGCATGCTAATGAAATGTGACTAATAAAATTATTATTATATCCCAAAATGGATGCCTTATAAAATGGATACATTTTTAAGAGAAATAATTTGAAGAGCAGAAAAAATGAATTTGCTTATAAAATGATGCTACTTTTCATTGCTAGCATTAACAATTTAATCTTCTTAATATGGTATATTCTACATAGAAGATATTTTGTCTTGGAGACTTGTGGGTCGATTTGTAAATAAGAATGGCAGATTTTAGAGAAAATATGAAATATTGTACAGCCATAAAAATTTCCATGTAAAATATTTAATAATAATTTATAAGTTTATAAAATTTAAAGAATTTATCAGGCAAAAATATTAAAATAATTTATAAGGTAAAAATATTTAATACATTTAATTTTCAGTTAAGAACATAAAAAATAAACAGATAAATTATTAAATGTTACATAACAAAACAAAATAAGAAAGCCATGCCAAGTGCTTGTTTTTTATGGTATGAAAATTTAATTTAAAAAAAAAAAAAGGAAAGTTATTTCAATATATCAAATATTGCAGGAGTTGTCAACACATAGGACATGCTGTGATGTCAATCACAATATTCAACAATTGAAAGTTAAATACAAAAAAGATAGTTTGCCTATCCCCTTATGTCTGAAGTTAAAAAATTGGGCAAGAGAGGAGGAAGCTTTGAAAAATATAACTCAGTATCACAAACAAATCAAATGATAAATTAAAAAAAAAACATCAGATTTTTATTTTTAGAATTATTCTAATTCTTGAATATTTTATTCTGAGGGTAAATATACATTTGTGATGCATAAAATTTGCAAGCAAAGATATCGGCTTAAATCAGTGATTCCATCAATCTAGGTTTAATTCAATATTTAAAACTTGATAGTCGGTCATTAAATTATTTGATATCCCCAAAATAACCCCATGCCATACATTTGTAAATGTATTTTGTGGTGAAAAAATACATTTAACTAAAATATTGTAAAATTTTGAACATATTTGATAAAAAAATTGAAGTATTCTGTTATTAGCAGGAGAGGTTTTCAAATGGATATCTTTTAATCATAAACTGAATCAGTGCCTCTCAAAGCACGGATTTTAGGTGATATCGGAGATAAACTAATTGCCTATTATATGGACAGTGACAATAATGCCACATTGTTTTTTTTCTTGTTGCTGTTCACGCAGGAGCGATCATTATTAAAGATTTTTATGCTGGAAGATGTACAAGAAGGGTGTCACAGTAAAAATTGTTTAACCAAAATAACAGACAACCAAAATCATCGTAAGTAATATCTCCCTTAAATCTTCATGTTTATTTTGCTTTTGAAGCCAATGAACAAGTGCACCAACACTGATATAAGTAAGGATGCTTTAATCACAATGGAGTCTCCTGTGTCAGTGTATATTGATTGACATGCAACATGCTTCATTCTGTTAATCAAGTTTGGGGAACTCTATTCATGGCATTTTGATTCTTCCTCATACTATTACTATTTCTCTTCATTTTCATATTTATATTATGTGTTACAGGATAAACGACTCTAGCTAATTATCTCATGCAGGCCTAAAATTCAATGGATATCTCTTATCATTGTTATAGAAATGTGAAAATATGCTGAGAAATATTTAACAAAAAGTCTGGGTGGGCAGCAAAAGTAATGCAAACGTTTCAATCCTTTTATAACTGCACACGACGGAATGAGGATCACGTTTTATTCAAACGGTATATTCTTGAATACTTCTTATGAGTTAAAAAAAAATAAAAAATTCTGGAACATTATGAATCATATTTCTATGGGAAATGCTGAACATTCAAAACACTTTCTTGGTAACCAATTTAAGACAAAAATGAAATGCGTTACTAATCATATAAAACCGTTACACATACATTATACCAATTACGCTGAGTTTTTAAAAAATTTTTTTTACCCATAACTCAAAAAAATACTCACATGCTCTATTCATTTACTTGTTACAATCACTGTTATTGTTTATGTTATAATTTATGTTATTGTTTGTGTTATTTGTTATGGATAAAAACCCTAATCGACTAATAAATAAAAGGTTATTAAAAAAAAAGGTTCATTTAATTATTTTTTTTTGGGGGGGGGGGGG